TCATGGATATTTTTGGGAATTCTCTCATTATCGATCTTCGCTGTAAAAGCCTTAAATCCAGAAGACAACTTTGTGCAGGTTAGAAAATTGTAGATAGGGTGCTTTGTGCATGTTCTTACCCCTTTCCGTATTGCAATTGGCACGTTCAAGTCACTGCTTTCACCAGGATCCGATTCTTGGTTCAATGATTGGACTTGTTGAGAAGCTTTTGGCCTTCTAGAATAAACCTGAAATGGTCTCTCAGAGATGGGTTGCTGCACCATCTCTTGATCATGACTCGAACTAGGATTAGGGACAGGAATTGGACTCGAGTTTTCTGGTGGTGAACTAGAGGCCTCTTGTGACACATCTTGTAATATTGGAAGAGATACAGTGGGATCCCAATGCTCGTTTTCATTGGCATTCTCCCCCTGGAAACGAGTGGTGGGATAGAATGGTTGATCCTCAAAGAAAGTTACATCACACGAGACAAAAAATTTCTTGAGAAAGGGAGAATAACATTTGTAGCCTTTTTGGGTTGGAGAATATCCGACAAAGACACATTTAAAAGCCCTGGGATCAAGCTTACTCCTATTTGGTTGTTTGTTATGGACAAATACAGTGCATCCGAACACTCTTGGGGACAAAGAATTGAAAAGATTCACATTTGGAAAATGATCAAGAAGGACACTTAGAGGAGTTCGGAATTGAAGTGTTTTTGAAGGTAGTCGATTAATCAAATATGTGGAAGTGAGGATTGCCTCCCCCCAGTAGGAATTCGGGACTAAACTAGTAAACATGATCGATCGAGCAACCTCCAACAAGTGACGATTCTTTCTTTCCGCAACCCCATTTTGTTTAGGTGTATCAACACATGAACTCTGATGATATATCCCATTATCCCCCAAATATTGGCCAAACTCATTTGAAAAATACTCCCCCCCATTATCTGTTCGAAGAACTTGGATATTGGATTGGAAAACATTTTGGACAAACTTTTGGAACTGTTTAAACCAGTAAAATGCCTCAGATTTATCTTTCATCAAGTATATCCAACAAACCCTAGTATGATCATCTATGAAAGTGATAAACCACTGGGTTTTAGTTAAATTAACTGTCCTAGACGGACCCCAGATATCACTATGAATCAACTGAAATGGTCTAGAGGGTTTGTATGTATGAGGTGAATATTTTACTCTGGTTGTTTGGCAAGGACACACTGTTCACAATGAAACAAAACTTTCTCTTTATTGATAAAAAGATTTGGATACAAGACTTTCATATAAGAAAAACTTGGATGTCCTAAGCGTTGATGCCATAACATAATATCAGAATTAGACATAACTGACATGGACATTTTATTTTGTGACTCGGCTCTACTGGAATTCCTGGCTCCTAAGAGGTAGTATAGGCCATCTTTCTTCTCAGCAATGCCAATCATCTTCCCCGAAGAACGGTCCTGAAATTCACAGTGAGAGGAGAAAAAAGTCACAACACAATTAAGATCGTTTGTTAATTTACTAACTGACAAAAGATTATATGTCAATTTGGGCACATGTAAAACCGATTTCAATGTCATATTCGGTAAACAAACCAAGCCCCTTCCAACCGCAGGTGACATTTTTCCATCAGCAACCCAGACATTAATTAGATTATTGCATCTGTCATATTGCTCAAAAAACTCCATTGACCCGGTCATATGGTCAGAAGCCCCTGTATCCACAATCCAACAGTCTGCTTGCAGAGATTTTGACAGGAATGCTTGACTCATTATACCTGTTTGTGCCATAGCTGCAGTGGGAGGTTTTGAAGTCTGATTTGCGGATCCTGTTGAAACCTGAGTTTGGTTGAGAAGCTGCCGTAGCATCTCCACTTGCTCTGTTGAGAGATTAAAACCAGCAGCCCTGTCCGATTCTGTCTCCTCCCTGCGGGTTGATTTCGCCTCCACTATGTGGGCTGAACTTGATTGCCCATGTTGCTTCCTTGGTTTCCAATCTGGTGGCTTGCCATGTAAATCCCAACCAGTTTCACGAGTGTGATAGGGCTTGTTACAATAATCACACCAGACCTTGTCCTTTGATTGAGAGCCACGGCTGCCATCTTGTTTGTATTGAAACCCACGACTGCCATCTTGTTTGTTTGCCACAAGTGCAGACCCTCGTGTTTCCAAGGAAGGCATGTCACGACTAGAGGGATTCATCATCACTCGTTTCCTGCTTTCTTCTCTCCTGACTTCAGCAAACGATTCTCGGAGAGTTGGAAATGGTTTCATCCCAAGTAGCCGTCCACGTACTTCATCTAAATCTGGATTCAAGCCCTGCAAAAAATCAAAGGTACGCTCTTTCTCAAGCATTTTTTTGTATTTTTCTGCGTCAGTAGCACACAGCCATCCAATCTCATAAAAGAGATCCATTTCTTGCCATAATTCTAAGAGAGAATTATAATACTCAGTGACAGTAAGACTCCCTTGTATGGTGTTGCGGATTTTTGACCTAATCTCGAAACATTGAGACGTGTTTTCAAGATCGGAATAGATTTCTTGGACTGCCTCCCAAATCTCCTTCGCTGTCTTGTAAAACAGATAAGTTCTTCCAATCTTTGGCTCCATAGAATTAATAAGCCATGCCATGACGATCGAATTTTCTGCCTCCCAAGTGCGGTAGTTTGGTGCTGTGTCCGGTGGTGCTGTGATTGCTCCTGTCAAGTATCCAACCTTCCCTCTTCCTCTAACAACAAGAATGACGGACTGAAACCATTCTCGGAAATTCAGCCCATTAAGCTTGTGCTGTGTGATTTGCAGCGAGTGGCTGTCCAGCGAGTGTGTAGATGAGGCTCCGGATATAGATCCTAGAGATGCTTGATCAATTGCTGTTGAAGACTCCTCTGAGGGCGTATTCGGTTGTTCTTCAGACATTTTTTTTCTGTTTTCTTGACTAGTCACTAGTTTCGGTGGCTCTGATACCATGAAACAAGAGAAACAGAGAGAAGAATAATTCTTGCTTGATTAATTCTCATTAATCTTGTCAGAATATATACACTTAGTAAGCCATTGGTCACGGCAATTAAGAGAGAAAGTTAAGGAAAGAATCCCTAAATTATGCTAGACAATCCTACAATATCTTCCTAATTTATACTTTCCTATTTTGACTAAATCATACAATAAACAGAAAGAATAAATATTTACACATAATTGACAAAATCTCCAACAGAGGCTTGTGACATAAGAATTACCTTGGGTTGCAAGGGAACATGAAGGAGTGACAGAGAATTGTGGAGATTTAAAGAGTTTGTATAGATGTTTTAATTATTCCTTTGTGAAAGGATGCACCTCAGAGTTGATTGATTGCTCTTGAGAATCGTCAGTGGTGGTTTGAAGAGCCCTGCCATTGCTCTCATGTTTTTTCTTCAAATGCGCTGGTTTCTCATGAATTTTCCAGCATGTCTCCTTAGTGTGCCATGGTTTTCTACAATGATCACACCATGGTCGCTTTTTCCTTTCTCCTTCCATATCAGATCCTCCTGAATTACGGGAGACTAGTACAGAATTCTCAGGTTCGGGTGTTGGTGCTGCACTGTTTAGCATGATTCTCCTCCTATTTTCTTCTTGTCATAATTTTGAAAAAACCTCACGAATAGAGGGCAGGGGTTTTTGGCCAAGAATCCTTCCCTTTACCTCATCTAGGCTTCTATTAACTCCTGCAAGAAACATATAGACACGATCATTCTCTTCACGTTTCATATACCTTGCACAATCATTCGGATTCTCCCACTCATCATCATAGCATTGATCCAATTCCAGCCAAAGGGTCACCATCTCGTTGTAATATACCGTGATCTCACGGTCTGCTTGCTTGGATTGTCAGAGCTTTGATTTTAATTCAAAGATCTGTGAAGAATTTTCCAAATCTAAGTATGTTTGCCGAATGGAATCCCACACAGCTTTGGCGGTTGGTAGGAACATGTTTGGTTTTGCGATTGCTGCCTCCAGGCTGCTTCTCTTCTCCAGTAATATAACCGAGTTTTCCTCTGCCATCGAGCACAAGTTTGACAGACTGTGACCACTCAAGGTAGTTTTTTCCATTCAACTTTTGAACGAAGATTTGTAAGGAGGAACCGGTTGTTATATTATCAACACTGGTATAGAGAGAATTGTCTGGGCTGTTTTCAGAGGTAACCTCAGATGACGTCCGGGCTCTGTTTACACCGGTCATGGTTGTCTTTGCTATTTTTCCCTTTGGATTAAAACCCTAAGGCTCTGATACCATGTAGGTTTTGAGGAAAAAACTTATTTTCTCTCTTATTTCAATCATGGTAGCATACATCTTATTTATAGGATACATTGTACCCTTGACTGCTCACAAACAGCTAACAAAACTAGAAACTATCTAAATTCGGAAATTAACTAAAGAGAATCCGGAAACTACTCTATTTCCTAGGAACCTTACCCCAAACTAAGGGATTCAGTCCTTTTATTCAAAAACAGAAAAAGTAAACTAGAAAACAGGAAAGTAAACAATTTTATTCTCTGTTAAGAAATAAAATCTTATATTTTCTGACACTGGGTTATGCTGGTGTTGGTCCGTTTAGACTGTGAGTGCATTGTTGTGAATAACTGACAATAGTTTCTTTGATAATGATAAACGTAAGTATATACTTTGAAATTCACAGCTTATGATGTCTGTTTGTAGGTGAACGCTAAATCCATTTCAACCCTTTATTTAATTTTGGATGACCCTTTATGAATTGCTACCATTGTAGCTCTGTTTATCCCTGTAACAGAGAGTAAGTGTTGTGCTATCTCGTTATGGACTCTTGATATTCAAGGCAAAGTTCATTTTATTCTGATAGATGGTTTTGATCCTTTTTTTATTTAATTATTATAATTTTTTTTGGAAAGACCTCATTTAGGCATTCTTCAACAGACTCTACATGGGCTACATAAAAAGTGGTTCACTACTACATTATTGTATTTACTAAAATTCTTGGCAGGTTATGAATCAAATATTATTTATTTGTTGTAGGTACAATATTGTTGGGGTCTTACAATGTTATCAATAAAAGTTAACAACATGAACAACCAGCTTTCTAAGCTAAGGTATATAAATATTTTGTTGTCCAAATTTTTTTCTACATAGTAAATCTTTAAGATTTCTTTTTTTTTCAATTTTGTTTAATTGGATTAAAATTATATCTTAATAAATAATTTCTTTGTTTATTTTCTTGCATCATCTTATTTGTCAATGGGTTTAGGTCTAAGACTCTATTGGTATCGCTCTATCTACATAATTTAATTTCATATTTTGATTTAGTTTTCAATTTTTTCTTTTTTCAATTGAGTTTTGTAGTTTCAGTGGAGAATTGTGTAGCAAGATGTGATTGATTGCCATTGCTCAATCTTTACTATAAATCGTGAGGTACGATTTTTTAATTTCTCTACCTAGCTTTTTAAGCTCTTAATTATTCTTTTCTTTAGGGATATTTCTTATATATGGTATTTTTTTTTATGCTGGGTTATGCTGGTGTTGGTCCGTATAGACTGTGAGTTCATTGTTGTTAATAACTGGCAATAGTTTCTTTGATAATGATAAACGTAAGTACATATTCTGAAATTCAAAGCTTGTGGTGTTTTTGTGGGTGAACGCTAAATCCATTTCAACCCTTTTTGATATTGCGAAGTTTGAGCGAATCTTCAACTTAACATGTCAAATTTCGTGTTCCCTTGTCTTTTCGGCTCTAAATTTGAATAAAAGGAATAACTAAATATGAATGAGTAATTGTTTAGTACCGGTAAAATTACAAAATACATTATTTTCATTTTCGAAGTAAATTTTGGGAGATTCTCTATCTTGTTTGATGTTGGCTATCTTATGCTGTTTGCATACTTATCTTTGGTTGATTCTGAATTGAGAATTGTTTATCTTGATGTTTTATCTTAGTTAATGTTATATAAAAATAGTTGTTTATTATTGTGCAGACCATTTCAAGTCGGAATAGAAAAGTTTTGGTTTCGTGGCTTCTTGTCAAAAAGGGTAAATTTCAGGGGTTGGATGTTGGACATGCATTTAGTAAATTTTTTATTAGTTTCAGCATATGTATTTTTCTCTGGTATTAGGATGATATGCTTCATTGAGATGTAGATGTTGATTTTTTGGCCTTTGATATCGGTGATTGTTTTGTCAAGAAGAATACTGAATAATAGTAGTGCATGTGCCTCGTAATTGTATATATTTATAATTTCCACTTGATTTGTTATTAGTTTTATGTGATGCAGAGAGGATATCCCGTGTGTGATTTGCTTTACCTTGGTGTCAATAATAGTAGTGCATGTGCCTCGTAATTTTGTATATATTTATAATTTACTTGATGTTGTATTTTTGTTTGTATAATAGTGGTTATAACCAGTGACTTTTATAGGACTCTGTACGGCTTATTATGTACTTGTATTATCTATAGAGGCTTGTGTTATTGTTTAGATACTTTGTATCTATATTATTTAAAATTTTAATTTAAGATGGCCCTTTATGAATTGCTACTATTGTGGCTCTGTTTATCCCTGGAACAGAGAGTAAGTGTTGTGTTATGTCGTTATGAACTCTTGATATTCAAGACAAAGTTCATTCTATTATAATAGATGGTTTTGATTCTCTTTTTATTTAATTATTATAATGTTTTTTGGAAAGATCTCATCGAGGCATTCTTCAACCGTCTCTACATAGGCTAAATAAAAAGTGGTTCGCTACTATATTATTTTATTTACTAAAACTTTTGGCAGGTTCCGAATCAAGTATTATTTGTTTGTTGTAGGTACAATATTGTTAGGGTCTTACGATGTTACTAATGAAAGTTAACAACATTAACAACCAGCTTTTTAAGTTGAGGTATATAAATATTTTTTTGTCCAACTTTTTTTTCTACATAGTAAATCTTTAAGATTTTTTTTCTTTTTTCAATTTTGTTTAAATCGGATTAAAATTATACCTTGATAAATAATTCTTTGTTTATTTTCATTCATCATCTCATTTGTCAATGGGTTTAGGTTTTTTTTTATTTTTTATTTTTTGTATAACCAGTATTATTCATTACTTTTTAGTATTATATATTTACAATCAAGAACATGACATATTGTTTTTAATAGAAAGAGTGAACAAATTTGATTGGATTGAAAAGAGAAGCTACGTGACATTGGTGTTTCCCTTCACTATGAAATGGCTCGGAAATTCTGGTGGATGATTTTGGGGGAGCTAATAAACATTGGTGTTACAGTATTTTGAAGGATGAGGTATAGAGTCAAGTCAGTAGGCTAACGTTGGGTCATTGTTTGATAAAAGGCCAATCAACCTTAGCTCTAAATTAGAGCATAAAATAATTAGTGAGGGAATAGGATAATTACCAAATTCAGTAAATGTTCTTTTAGGCCCAATCAATCTAATGTGTTTTACACTGGGCAAATTTTTAATGGGCCCAACCTTTAGAACAAAATTTAGAAACGGAGGAAGCCGAAGCCTCAATCAGATTTTGCTAAGGAACAAGACAGGGAGGCGGTGGACACGAAATGATGTGGAATTTCACGAAGCAAACGGGTTTGATGAGGAGAAAGAGTTGGAAGGGGTGGCCACTTAATATTGAGGAAACGGTTTTATTCCTGAGAAAAACCTTCCAAAGGAAACTGAAAAGGTTACAAATGGTTTCGGTGTTGGAGTCTCAGAGGATCTATATTTGGTTCAGTTGATGCAACCTATATGTACAATCTGAAGATCAAAGTAAATAATCCAAACAACTAGATTTGCCTCACAATTAGGAATGCTTTTTTATTAACATTCTCAGATGAGAGGAAAATAATTAAGTGTTGTGACAAAAATTCAGGCAGCCCTTAGACCAGTGGGGAAGTTAGAACACCAAATAAGGATCGAGTAAGGGACAACGAAGGAAGGAAGAAGGGACTTAAGGAGGTTGTTGGAATGCGGTCTTTGTTATAAGTCTAGTGGAAACAAAGTTGTTGGAAAGGGTATTGAAAAGAATGATTATTGTCTCTTGGAATGCGAGTGGTTTGGGGTCGTGTAGGAGGAATGGGATCAAGGATACTATTAGGAAAATGAACCCGAAAATAGTTATTTTTTAGGAAACAAAGAGAGTAAATAGTGGAAGAAAGCACTGTGAATAGTTTTTGGAAGGCTAGATTTTTAGGAGTTGGGTTGTTTTACCATCGATGGGTAGGTCCGGTGGTAACTTGTCATGTCGGATGTTAGATGGGTGCGAATGGTGGATTTATTGTTGGGTGACAAAATGTCTCAAAAAGTCTGTTGAATTATCAAGGTATTACAGATTACACATCTATATATTTACAACTGTAGAAACTAAACTAGGAAAGAATAAAAAACAGAAACTTCCTAATCTTAGGATACAAATCAAAATTAATTTCCTAGGATCCCAAAATACAATAACTTCTCATATCATATCACACGTTTTTCCTAAAATAGAAAACATGTTTTTCTAACACTCCCCCTGAAGTTGATGAATGAATGTTATCCATTTTCAGCTTGTGAACTAAACTCTGGAAAACCTTACTAGTCAGTAACATAATTTTTTGAGTTCTAAAAAGATAATTGCTTGTAACCATCTGAGCTTTCCCATTAACGCCAGAATCATCCTCCTCAAAGTAGTATAGGCCATCCAGTTCTTCAGCATTGCCAATCCTCTTTCCCGATAATCAGCCGTGAAAGATTCAAATAGATGGCAAAAAAATTACTTCACAATCTAAGTCTTTGGTTATTTTACTAATGGACAAAAGATTAAAACTTAGATTCGGTACATGGAGAACCCCTTTTAACGTGACATTAGGTCTAATTCTTATAGTCCCAGTACCGGCCACCACAGAAGAGGTCCCATTGGCAATCTGCACTTTGCGGTCTCCAGCGTTGGGAATATATGTGGTGTAAAGCTTAGCACAGCTGGTCATGTGGTCCGTTGCTCTTGAGTCAATAATCCATAGTTCTTCTTTTTCTGTCAAGCCGAAATAAACAGTTAATGCTTTACCTCTCTGAGCCAAAAAGGAGGATGAGTGGGACGATGATTATGTTATCATCTACCTTAGTTGTTCCAGTTGTTCCTTGGAGAAAACTGGTGCTGCAGTGGCTGGTTCTTCATCAGTTTTCTTATCTGCTGCCTGAAATCCTTTTCCTTCTCGTCCACAGTTCCGAGGTGTCTAGTTGGTAGGTTTGCCATGTAGTTTCTAGCAAGTCTCCTATGATATGGCTTCTTGCAGTGATCACACCACTTCTTGTTTTTTTTTCCTTCCCCCGGATTCTCCTGTCCACACTCATGAACAACCAGAGTAGAGTTCTCTAAATTCTGCATATTCCCTCCAAGCATGACCTTCTTTCTTTATTCTTCTCTACGCATCTCAGCGAAAATTTCTTTGATTTGAGGCAGGGGTCTCATTCCAAGCAAACAGCCACGGACTTCATCCAAGTCTTTATTAAGTCCTGCAAGGAAATCATATATCCGGCCTTGATCAACCATCCTTCTATACAAAACTGCATCTTCAGGGTCTTTCCATGACGAAGTTGAAAAAAGATCCAATTCTTGCCAAATTCTTGTCAACTCATGATAATACTGTGTAACATCACTCTCCCCCTATCTCAAATTTGTCACCTTGTTCCTTAACTCAAACATCTGTGAGGTATTCTCTAAATCGGAATAGGCCAAATTTACAGCATCCCAGATTTCATGTTAGTTTACCAATCCATCCCAAAAGCTTAAGCTTTTAGGAGGTGAGGCAACAATAGTTTTATACTTTAACACTCCCCATCACGTGTGGACTAAACAATGGGCAATTGTGTAAGTAAATTAATTGAAAAGCCCAACACGTGAATATTTAAACCTAATATATATTAAAGATTCACACATGATGACAATTTAAATGGAGATAAAGAGTGCAATTACGGCCGTTTGAACTCAGACACTCCCGCTCTGATACCATATAGCAAGAACCTGAGGAGATAGTAACTAGAGGAGAAAACACTGCTCGAAGATGAAACTATTGTTGTATCATTCATATTCTAAACCATATACACCAGCCTCCTTATATAGATAAGCTAGGAGACATCAAATAAAAGGAAACATATATACCAAATAAGAAAACAAATCAAAAAAAGAAGGAAACTACCTAATCACCTATCCCAAAACTTAAAGGAAATTACTCAGAGTCAACTAATAATCTTCCTCCATAATTATTCCTTATTCGGCTACATAATAATCTTCCTCCAAAATTATTCCATATTCGGCTACATAATAATCTTCCTCCATAATTATTCTATATTCGGCTACATGATGTTATGGCGGAACGATCCTTTGTAGTTTGGTAGGGGAAAGAAGGCTCATGTAGTTTAGAAGGTTGTTAGTATTGCTATTCTTTTGGGTGCTCTAGTTAGAAAGAAATAATAGAATTTTGAAAGAAAATGAGATGCCTCAATTTATTTATTCGAGAAGGCAAAATTTTTGGCTTCTCAATGAACTTCAACAGACTCATCCTTTAAGGATTTCCCACTTTCCTTGATTTTTTAAGTTGGGAGGATACTTTGTTGTAGTTTGTGTTGCTGGTGCAGTTGGAATTTTTGTTTGGTATTTTTTTTTCTTTTTTGTTTTTGTAGCCGTTTTTTCTTTTCGATGGATAGCTCATCCATCTTCTCTTCGTAACTTTTTGATAGAATTTATAAAGTTCTCAGTTTCTTATCCAAAACAAAAAAGAAAAAAAATCTACTTTTAAGCTGAGTTTTCTTAAGTCAGCTCTCAATATCCTTGAAATTCCCAAACCTACTAAGCTATTTTAAACCAGGTCCCCCGTGTAATCTTACAATGTCTGGGAAGCATGAAACTCGTGGCTACTCCCACCAAGTAGGTGCCTTTGAGAAATTAGACCTGAGATTCTAGGAGCTCAGCAAATCATGAGCGTGACTGCTCTGCTGGCTTGTAACACTGATTACGCCCAAACGTGTACAAAAACAAGCGGTCAATTGTAATACAATTTGAACGGTCGATCCCACAAG